CCATGACACAGACAACGGAGATACTCTAGTGGTAGTTTGAAATGGCAAAATTTGCATAATTCTCAAACGAAAATAGAGGACTTATCAATGTTATTCAATCAAGTTTAAGATAGAATCTTTATTTGTTTAAAAACGTAGATATTCTACATTGCGGTATTTGTCTGAGTTAAGACTTGTTAGTTAAATATCTTCCTTGCACTAAATTGTCTAAATGTTAAAGAAACTTAATTGTGTCAAGTCACACTTTCTATTTAGATCATTTTATGTTTAATATAATTACATAAAGTGAACCCACAAGCAATGCTAGTTCATCAGATATGTCTGGTACTAATGAATTTAAAGGAAGAAACCCGACAAAATTTTCTCTAAGCACCAATACTTTATCAATCATTGTCGATTTTAACACGTCTCAGTTTACACCAGGTTTGTCATTTACTCTAAATTCAAACACAATTCTTTTGTCATGTATTTCCTGGAATTCTTAGAAAAAATCCACCGATCACCTATAATGGGTGATGTTTATAGTTGTTTTATACATGTATAAGCATGGTTTATTGTTTAAAATAATTAGAATAAAAAATATCATAATCAATAACGGCATTTAAGAAAAACAGCAAGAAGTATTCAAGAGTACATATTCCGTTGACAAAATAAGTATTAATGGCAGTGGTTAAATCCGCCCGCTTTCACCTCTAGCAAGATTGTTCAGTGTTGCCATATTTTGATGTCATTAAAAGAATAGACTGAAAAGTTATTTTAATGTTAACGTGATAATGTTTTATTTATCCTCCAGTGTATTTCATCATTTATCTGGGAAAACAGTATTTTCAAAATACATTTTACACTCAGTTCTTTTCTGGACAGGCATTCCGTAATAAATTTAATATGATATCATATATTTCATGAATTACATATCATTGCTTGTATGTTACGTATATTGTTTGTATATGTCTATATGATGTACCATGCGTACGATGAAATAAACCTTCTTTTCTGCTCTGGTCATAAAAGCTGAAATGTCATACAATCCCATCCTTTGAAACATATTTTACAGTCGATACTGAGCGAGCTATAAGACATATTTTAATGTTGACATTAAATGGACAAAATGATTCATAAATATTTTGTCTACAGAACATAATTTGAACTTAAGATAGATGGTTTTATACCATGAGTTATCACATTGTATGCTATTAATTTAATAAACAAAAGGGAAGAGTGAATTATTACATCTGAAAAAATATGTCTAATAGTATAAAAAAATGACGTTTCTTCTTCCTAGAGTGTTGATAATTAATATACAAGGCATTTTAATTTACAAGATATTCTAGTATTTATGTCTAAATTCGCAACAAATACCTTTTTTACTTACTGTGCCTGGATCTTTCATTTCGTTAAACAAACATGCTAAAGTTCGAAGAAACATTTGGAAAGAAAAAGAAAACGTGTCAACAAACATTTCATAAGAATTAATTTTAACTCATTAACGATTGTCTAAGTATGTCTATTCATTCTTGATATTTGTTTTAATTGATACACAATAGTATTATAAATTTAACATCATGGTGAAGATAATACAGAATAATAAAATGATTAAAGAAATGCAATACTGACAATTGATTTTAGAATGTATTGACAATATCATGTGTATTGTATATATGTAGACAAAGTCATTTCATAATTATTCCATATAATTTGCATTTGATAAAAATACATCTCTATATGTACTTTGTAATACACCTTTTTAACAACTACTGTGTTCAGTAAACCCTATTATATCATAATGTTACGTTATGATATTTACCATAGCGGTGAATTACTTAAAAAGACATATATTTTTTCTAGCAAATGAGTCATGTTACATCAGTACATCGGTTTTATCGCAAAACATTCTCGATTAAATAGTTACGATTAAAAGAAATACCGAAACGTGTAAAGAATTAAATCCTACGTCCTATATTGCACCATATTTTGTTTTGTTGTACTCGCTGAGTGTTCTTTTTAGTTGCTTCGACCCGCACGTGTAAAAAAAACTTTACTGATATTTCATCATTTTTAATGTATCCACGATGAGTTAGGTGTAATCGGTTTAAAGAAATATCGTAATCACAATTTCTCAATCAAACCTGAATGAACAGATTTCTAGAACATGGCTGACTACAATAATTTTGATAAGCATTTGACATGGATTTTTTATTATATGTTTGATATTTTAATTAGGATTAGGGCGCATGTTGCAAGTTCCAGATAAAAATACACCACAAAAAAAGAATAAGAACATGACAAAATCATCGCTAAACTTATTAATGTAGCAGTTGAGCAATATGTTGATATGGGACGTTCACCGCGTGTTCTTATACAATGTATGTGAGTTTTAAAATATAGTCAACTCTTGCTACGTTACGTTTCATCCTAAGTAAGAGCAAATTTAAACGACGAAAGAATATGAAAATGTCATGATTTATAGTTGATATAAATGTTATCGCATATAATGTTTGTTATAGCTTTATATCTGTAACGTCAAGAATAGCAGCTGTGTGGCTTGATTCGTATCAATTATATAAAAACTATTTAATATTTATAAGAGTGGGATAATATATTGAAGATGAATTTCATAAAACAACATTTTTTTATCATATATTTATTACATAATATGTGAAAACTATCAGAATATATGCTAAGAGATTTCAAGAAAATATAAAGAAAATATTACATTTAAGTTTAACGTATTTTTGTAGTGAACATTTAAGCTACGAATGATGTTTATAATCTCGTAGGCGCTTGTATTAGAATTTATCTTAACTATCTCTCTTAAGTTGCAAGATTTTATTGCATGATGTTATTACCGGAATAAGTCTAGCCAACGAAAATTATAAATTTAAAAATATTCGTAAACAATTGTATCCCGTCAAAATGAAATATTGTTTCACATCAGAGCAAATAGTGGCGTCTGCACTAAATGCATTAGAGAGCGTGAAGTTGTTTTATAAGACGTTAACATGCGTAAATATAACCCGAGCGGCTAGGCGAGGGTTATATTGCAAACAGCCATTTATATAGGGGCCATATAACCTGCCAACAATCTTCATAACAGCAAGCATCATTTTGTGAAGAAAAGGTTAGATTTCTTCATGAATCGACAGCAGCCGTGTATATAAAACTATATAAACGTCACGATTTTTATCCAATGAAAAGCGACGTTACAAACGTGCAGTATTATAAAAACCACCATACTGGTGTCCATGCAAGTCATATTCTTTCTTACCTGGTCTTTACATGTATGATATGTTTTTGTTTTTTTTTTTTTTTTTTTTTTTTTTTTTCAATCAGCTGGAGATATGTAGAATTTACATTGAATGAACGTGTACGTCATGCTTTAAAGGGTACATAATTACATAATAGTTTACATATACATAACATATCAAGCTCATGATTTGAATTGTTCTGACTTTGATATGATTTATGTCAAAATCATTCTGTTTATTTTCCACGTATTATTATTATTATTATTGATTTCACTAGCTTACGGAACGTCGGTGGTTCTACTCAGGTGCCCGTTCGTGCCTGAAATAATGCACGGAAGGGCACCTGAGGTCTTCCTCCACCAGTAAAGCTGGAACGTCGCGATATGACCTATACTGTGTCGATGTGACGTAAAACCCAAAACAAACAAACAAACAATTGATTTCACGCGTGTAAATTGATAATGAAAGAGGGGAAATAAGAAATAAAAAATTAAAGATATTTATAATAATTAATGTTTTGTTTGCCTGTGCCAAGAGATATAAATCAAAGGGCTGCAGCTCTATGGTATTTTCTGATTTTTGCAATCTAAATCATACTGACTATCTGTATGTACTTTCCTGTATAAGTTTATTTTTATATACTATAATTCATCTTACGCAGCGACAGCGTTTTGATTTTCTTCTATAACAGTTTGAGATTGATACATATGGAATTTTGATTAAAAAAAAATATAGAATTGCCTCGACTAGGATTTGAACCATAGGCCTCTCACACCCTCAACGAGACCGCTTACCTCTGCACCACGGCGAAGTTATACATATGTACCTTGAATAAAAACGAATACATTATGTAATTCTAAATTGAGAATTTCCATTTCGTGTTTGTAATCCTTATTAATTTCGAGGTATTTTGCTCACGATAAACCTGTTGTTTAACACTGATGAAATTAATTTAGCGAAAATCTTCTCGCCAAAACAGTCCGACATGTATATATTCCACTACTCGGCAGTCAGATTTATTTGTGTACTACGCTCTGGAGTATTCGGTAATCGACATAGCTAAAAATAGCATTTTCATTGATTAAAATGATTCATGATAATCCGAAGCTTTACGGAAATAGCCGAACATTTTTCATTGGGTAAAAAAGATATTCATCCGCGAAATTTGTGATTGTAACCTCATATTTCTGTTGACTAATCTAAACTTTGAATGCACTGTAATTCGTTAAATGCCTACATTAAAAATTATTCTTTCTTTTAAATTGCTGGTTTTTAAGCAGTTTTGAGTGAGAACTACTTTGCGTTGTTAGGACTGTTAGGAAATTTTGTGTTAGACCGTGGATGTTAGCTATGTATTTATTGATCTTACGATCAGAAAATACAAAAAGTATGAATAATTGATGTTATAGCCGATAATCGATTTACATCAAAGTGCAGCATATTGACCAATATAAGGTGTAATAGCACATTTATTATTTATCAAGTATAGATATATTATCTATGTTTAGGGTATTTGGATGAAACATTTTGGTTTATAGCATATAGTTAGCCACCAATGTGTACATTACAGACGTTAATATCCCTATTCTAGGATTATTTTACTTTATAAACAGAGATATATACAAGTTACTCCGGTTAATCGACTCTTAGCAAAAATACTGGCAATATTTTTTAACAATGTCTAAGATTCAACTTAAAGTAGTATTGCTAATAACTGTGTGCTATTTGTTTACTGTGTGTTTAATATATAAGTGCATGCCGTTAGTACACAACAATGCTTTGGATGATAAAGATTTAAGGCACGTTATTAACAATTCAACACCAAAAATATCAAATCAGGATCTATACAAATTAAACTGGAACGAAAAGGATAAAATGTTCTTCAAGAAAGTGAGGAATATTATTGAAAAGAGTGAAATAGTTGACCACCATAGTACCAGTGATAGTATAGATTGTGACTCAACAACTACCAACAAATTTTGGCGGATAAGTGCAGGGATATATGTTTATTCAGCCTATTTTGATACACGCAATGAAACTGCATATATCCGTATGATAGCCGCTGTTTCAAAGGAAATAAACAAAGTTTATTTAAACACTACGCTTTCGTGTGTATTTAATACAACTGAGGATGGTGAAAATAGTTCTGCAACTTCTGTTGTGTATTCTCCGCTGCAATCGTATGAGATGTGTGAAAATCATAAAAGGCTTTTTGGGGGATGGATGTTTTCATGCCAAGTGCCTAAAAACTTAAAATCGAAACCATTAAAAATACAACTGAAGTTTTTAGATTTGGATAATATTACAAAATCTACATTAAAGGACATTTGTATAACTTCTCGTCATAAAAATATCAAACGACGGAAATTAAATTTTGGTGTTTGTGTACCCCCTTTGTATGGGGAAATAAAAGCGAAGTCCCTCATTGAGTTTATAGAATTTAATAGAGTCCTTGGTGCTGAAATTTTTATTTTGTACATTGAGAATTCTATAGATAATCTATCAATGGAAGTACGAAGCGTTATACGTTATTATGAAAGACAAAACGTAATTATTTTTCATCCATGGCGACTTCCATTTACATCTGAATCAATATGGTACCATGGTCAATCACTAGCAATTAATGACTGTTTATACAGAAACATGGATGACTTCAAGTATTTAGTTTTTATTGATCTAGATGAATTCATTATTCCGCAAAATGAACTGATAACATGGACTGACGTCATTAATCGAGTTAAAGAGAACGATCCTGAAATGTTCAAACGAAGTATTGGGATGTCTTTTAAATCAACATTCTTTTCGGAAGAGTTTTCAAGACATGTTTTCTCAAATGAAATGAGTATGACCGTGAGAACAAACAGAACTAGGAACTTCAGTTTCCGCAGAAATAAAGTGCTGGTTCAGCCAGAGAAAATCTTTGAACTTGGGATACATCATGTTAGCAAACCACTGCATGAGAAAGATAGTCAAAACATTATTAACATCCCAACATCTGTCGCTCATATTCACCATTATCGTAGTTGTGTTAATGAGTTTGGTATACATTGTAAAATTCGTGTTGAAGATTATACCGTACCATATAAGTATGGTCAGCAAATAATTGATAATTACCTAAAAATTGTTTTTGATATAACACCGTAATGTTGCCCAATTAGTTTATTATTTTCTGAAGTTTTTGAAAACCATCGTTCAGAGTTCTCATGATTCATATTGACAAAATGTTCATCTTTGTCGATGGGTGTTTGTTTGTTGTTGTTGTTTTCTAAGATCATTGTAAGACGCTTGTCTTGAAGCTAACTTCTTACACATAACACGTTTCAACATCCTGAGATGTAATAGACAAATTAAGATATACCACCAGGAGTAGATATAACCATATAGCAGCCTGCAGGGGCGTAGCTAGCGCTACGCACCTACGCACGTGCGTAACATTGATCCCGGAAAACGAAAACTCAAATATACTAAAACCGGTGAGAAAACTAAAGGGTATAGGCGTGGGTGGTGTTGGAGTGTTTTGAGACATGGTTCCAACATTTATATAGATCTAACTCTAATTATATCATTGATTCTAATATAAATATAGATCTTCGAAGTATAGATCTAATTAGTTTCAATAATAATATAACGTAAAGAGTATTAATCCGTAAAGAACTATTATGAAGCATAATACGGTTTTAACGGCGGTAATGCTCGCTCGAAATACACTTCGCCCGACATACAGAACGAGTTACTTTATGTGGCGAGATTAACAGCAAAACAATTGTGGAGACCTGCGACGCCGCTCCATTCTTTGGCTGTAACGCCAACGAGGCTAATGATACGGCGCCCTTCGAGCAAATAGCTAATGTTCATTGTTCATTAATGTGTTCGTTTAAACGTTTGCATTGGGGTGCCAGAAAGATAAATCACACGACGTCGCTTGTTATAACCACGTTTTATTCTGTCGAGAAAACGGGCAATTATGCCTCAGAAATGAATATATTATTACTTCTTGAAAAAAGGAGAAGCATGATCGAGATCAAGTTTTAAAGCTGCACGCCTCCAAATGAGCAAAAATATTTCCTGAGAAAGTGTACTAAGATTTTAGGAAAGGTATACAGTAAAGATTCAAAATTCTAGTAAAACTTTACATGTTATGTGCTATTAATGATCGAATTTTTCAGTATGTATAACTAAATTTTATTGCGTTACGAACGCAGTAAGGGCTTGCTTATTTTGACCTCTTCATAGTAATTTACATAGGTTGTAAGTGGCATTTATAATGTCTAAATTGCATTATTTTGGTAACTTTACAATATTAAACCGTTAAATACATTTTAAAATTTTCATGAAAATTAGCATGAATCTGGAGGTGTGCTGCTTTAGAACATTTAAATAATGGTTTCAGAGCTTGTTAAATGCTTCTAACATGAAGAAAGTAGCGCTTAATTTGAAATTATTTGTCATAAAAGTAGCAAGAAAAATGTAAACAAATTAGTATTTTGACTTCCATACAAAATATTAAATCTAATCGCAAAAAATGCACAAGAAGAAAAATATGTACCTTAATAACAGTAAAAACGTTTTTCTTGTGTTTGTTGTTGTTCTTTTTCAGTGACGCTCCTAAAGTATGACCTCAAAGGCCCAGTATGCCCCAGAATTATTTTAATTTTATGTCTCAAAGGATTTTTTTAACTTTTATAATTTCTTTCACCAGTTTCTTATTGGCAAATTATATAATCCCACACGAATATAATATTATCTGCATGAAAGATGTATTCGTGTGTGATCATTATCAAATTTGATTGAACTCATTAAAAAAGAAAATTGTGTTGGAGATATAACTTTTATTTAACTGTATTTATTTATACAAATTTGAATGCGATTTGTTGTGTAATATAAAAGAAACTTACATTAGTTGGCATTACTTAAAGAATTCTTAAACTCTCGTCAAAGGCTTGTTACTTTTTCTTTAATCGTTTTACATCATATTTTTACATCAATGACAACTCATGTGAGATCCTATACATGTATATATATATCATATTATCTGTAAAAATAAAATAATTTTCTATGCGTAATGGCATTATGTACAAATAACGAAAATTTACTGTATATATATACATTGTATAAATGAGTATGCTAGATATCAAACTGAGAAATGAAAATTTGCAATATTCTCACAAATGCGAAGGACTCTTTTTCAATTTGATATATAGCATATTAGCCCAAAAAGAAATCAGTTTTCTTGCTGTGTGCCGTATAAGTAAATGACAGCCATGGACGACCGTTTTCATCAAAGCACTAGAAACAGAAATGATACCAGAAGTTCGACTGCTACGCGAACATTGAGCAGACAAAAGTAATTTAAGATAATAATCATCGCTACGTAGTAACTGATAACATTTTTAGATTTTAGTTAGTAACGATATTTCAATTGAGAAAAAAATCTAAAAATGAAGAAAACACATTATTTTCTGTAAATCTATAACACGGTGCGAAACATCACTGTTGCAGGCTCCATCCACAATATAGAATCTGTGCTGCAAGATATACCGACAGAGCTTTTTCCAAATGTTAACAAGTGTCTGCATTTCCTTCCAGCAATGCCAGTGCTGAACGTTCATTCATCAGCTTGAAAAGGCTAAAGACTTTCTAGTGCTAAACGATGACCACTGGTCATCTCTCTGGCTTAGGACTTTTGCAGATCCATAGAGACACGGTGATCTAGGCTGACGTTGTTGTACATAAATTTGAGTTTATCACTTTTATTTGCTGACTAGTAAAAGCGTACACGTCGTTTGTTTGCGTCTGTTTATACAATGTATATCATTATACAACGTTTATCAAATACCTTGAAATATTATTATACGATCTAGCAATTATATCTAAGACGTTCTCTAAATCACGTCACATAAGTCATATCATTAAATAAAAAGTTATCAATGATAATATTAAATTCCTTCTGACTTCAATTTGTAATTTTATGGACCTCAAATGGGCATGAAAATGCATAATTTTAACATCTCTAAATGGTGAAAATCAATGAGCTTCCGGGGGCTTCGCCCCCTGGACCCCTACCAGGGCTCTGCCCTGGACCTGCAAGGGGGCCTAAAGCGGCCCCCTTAACCCCCTGCCTGAACGTGCGTGATATCGATTTCGACCTAGCTACGCCCCTGGCAGGCAAGGATCGACATGTGTCAAACACACACGTCCAGATTGTCAATACAATCTCTTATTGATACCCCCTGGATTAAACTTATGTTTTTTTTTATATTGCTGATTACCGCCCCACACTTATTTGATTTTTTTTCTTCTCCTTTGTGACAACCAACTGTTTGTTAAACTTCAGGGATTCTAATGAAAGCTATATAAACAAGTGATTATATGATTGCAAAATTTATTATCTCTGCGGTACGATGCTATTCTTTGGCGACGCCGTTGAATGGCGTCGTCTCATACGGAAGACCTTTTTTGTAGCATATGGTAGGAGCTGTTATTATTAGCAGTTTATGGCGGGCTCAGTTTAACGGCTTATCCGTTAAATATTCGTAACAAACTGTCCTGGCACTTCATTAATTTCCGTATAGGTCAGGTGATAAACAATGGTATCTAACGAATATATCGATATCTTTGTTTACTTCACACGTCAATTAGTTGTGGTGTATTGGAATAGATGCCTGATTACTGATCTGAAGTTCCCTGGTTCGATACCTTACCAACACCACGTTATGAGGACATGCAGTTTTTTTTATTTCATTTTGTAATTTACTTGCAAGAATTAATTTGAAATCGTTTTACTACATCTGGTTTTAAGGATACCTTTTAAGTAGTGTTTTTATACAATTTTATTTTTTATACATTACATTATCTTTAATTAATAAAAAGGACAGCACGTTCATAATACAAATTAAAATACTACACAGATAGAATACACAACCAGAAATCAAAACGTTCTGTACGAATAAAGAGAGAAATGGCAATTTTGAAATAAGAAAAGAAAAGAAAAGGGGCTGAACCAGGATTCGAACCTACGAATGTATGTCTATATTCTTGAAGTGAAAGTGAGGGATTTATAATTTAGACCATTAAACAACTGGTTATATACAATCATATCGATTTACAAGTAGATAGTAACGTTTACGGAATTTACCGACTATGGGGTCAAATGCAAGAGTGCCAGGTCAATGTTGCTGGACAATACTTTACCAAATGTTCCTTTTTGTAAAACTTTAGAGATATGTTATATTAAGGTGATTCCGCTTTGTCAGCCATGTTTGTTTTCACAAAGTCTGTCTAAAGTGAAAGTAGGCCAAAATTCATATAACAACAAAGCTCACATTGTTATATGATGAGCCATTTGCAAGTACACTTCCAGTTCTATGTTTTAAAGACTATTTTAAACAAAAATAAAAATGATAACAATAAGAAAATTTACCTTGAATGGGCTAAATTTCTGAAGACCAAAAACATTCTGTTGCAAAGTTTTATGCACATTTCATGAATGGCAAAATCCAGTTTAAAGTCTATTTTAGTGCCAACAAATGCTATTTTTTGCAGAAAATACAAAAAACTTTAAAAAACATAAATCTTAGGAAAGTAGTTTATCTGACCTTGAAAAAACATGGCCACCATGACATGTGTAAAAAAGTAGTACTATGAAAATAAACATCATTTACCTATAAACATCATTTACCTATTTCTTGTGTACATGACAAACAGACACACTTCACTGTTACACATAAAAAGGTTAGATTTTAAAGTTTGATTGTGTTTTCATTTTAATTGAAGTTCATAAGGCTATAAATGATGATTGTTTTCTTGTACTTTCAAATGGTTCATCATTTTACAATAAGAGCTTTGTTGTTATATGAATTTTGGCCTACTTTCACTTTGGACAGACTTTAGTGAAAACAAACATGAAGGACAAAGCGAAATCGCCTTAAAGATCCTGTATGTTTTGTGATTGATAGTTACTGTGTGTATACCACACTTGCAAAACATTATATATGTATATAATTATGCAAATAAAACAATTTTCAAACATCGAAGAATATGTAAAAACACTCAAAGCATTGGTGGCACTATACAAAAACAAATTGGTTTATTATCTCACAACCTTCACCTTCAACCTGACATTCTGAGACCCAAACAAATTCAGC